TAAAATTAATAAAATTTAATAATTTAAAAAAAAAGAAAAGGGCACAAATTCTAGACAAAGACCAAAAAGTGTACCCAAGATTTTAGTACATAATAAAAGTCATATTTTAAAATCTGTGAGGAAAATATAGTTATTCAATAACTGGTGTTGGAAAAACTTGCTAACCATCTGGGGAAAAAATGAAGCTAAATCCTTTCTGTCACATTGAGTATCACAATAAATTCCAGATGGATTAAAGATTTCAATATGAAAGCATTTATGAGCATGGAAAGAGACTCTGGAAGGTTGTTAAAATCAGTTACCTCAGGGAGGTGGAAATGGGAGATGCTGAAGGGAAATTATTACATTTTTCATTACACATCTCTGGATGGGTTCACACATATGAGAAAATACAAATCCCTTTGAAGATAAAAATTCTAAAAAAAGAGTATTTTAAAGGATAAAACAACAGTCAAGGACTTGACTAAGATCCAGGGAACTATTTATATATCGTAAAGATAGGCACAGACGTTCCAGCAAGTTACCAACCAATGCAAGAAGCCATGAAAGTGAAGTTTATCCTATTTAATGGCAGAAACCATGTACATTTAACAGGTAATAAATCACAGGAACAAAATGAAACTATAAATAAACAAACGCCATGCCAAATAATCATGCAACCATAAAAGAGTTGGTGTCTTTATGAAAACCAGAAAATTTCAAACTGATCATCCTCAACGGACTCTTGCTCAAGACAGCCTATGTGTATCAATGTAAAACTGTGCTACAGGGAGGTTTTAATGGCTGGTTTTCCAGAAATAGATTGTCAGTCTTTTCTTAGTTTCATCCTCCGGATGGATTCTAACCTCCATCCTTTCAGTTAGCACCTTAGCATGATAACCATTTGTGCCACTCAGAAGTACAATAAATTTGTTGCCATTTAAACTATTCCAACTCAGCAATGCAGGAGAGCACAACTACCCCAGCCTGACAAACAGGCAAAGCACAAAGAATTCACCATAGAAGGTATCCAAATAGCCAATAAACATTTGAAAAAAATTCAACCTCAACAGCAATCAAAGAAATTAGGATCAAAGCCACATAATGACATTTTCCTCTTATAAACTGGCAAAGATTATTTTTTCTTTTTAAATATTTTAATTGGTTTACATATAACAGTTCATACTTTGTTTTTAATTCATATATATTGTGTTTTCTACAAGCTTTCGTTTTCCATTACGTTTCACATAATAATTCGTATATATTGTATTTTATGTAATTACTACTCATCTTGGAGAGGACATCATGCTTGGGAGGGTGCAGGCACAGCGAGGGTGAGGAAGACCCTCGAAGAGATGGACTGATTAAGTGACTGGGATAATGGGGGTAGGTGTGTTAGAGAAAATAGGATTGACACAGAGCAGAATTTAGGGCTGTTGTACGCTATGAGTTGCAGGCAACTTGATGGCACATAACAACAACAACAACAATGGATCTATGCCTTTTATTACACAGATTATTTTTAAGTGTTATACCCAATGCTACACAGCCTTTAGGGGATAGAGACTCTTAGACAGTGATGAGAAGTAAAACTTTCCTTGGTATCAATTTGAAAGCACACATGTCCTTTGATTCAGAAATTCTACTTTAGAAATTTATCCCAAATTAACAATTAATCAGAAATGTTAAAATTTAGCTACAAAAATAATGACCATAGCCCAACTCATAATATAAAAATATAATAAACAGCATATATAAGAAACAGGGAATTAATTGCTTAAATCTACACAATGGAGTACTGTGCAGCTGTTTGGATGGCCTCGGTCCCAACATACTAAAATGGAAAGCTGTCCGGAACTTGGGAAAACTGTGGTTCCGTCAACAAGGAAAGAAATCTGATGTATATCAGAAATACAGTTCTTAAATTAGAAATACAATTCCAGGAAATAAACGACAGAATCAATGTTCTTGTAACAAGTAATAGCACATACACATATTGGAGCATTTTTTTTAATAGAAAAAGAATAAAAACAACTCTAAGAAGGGAAAAGTTAAAGAAATTTGAAATATTTATCTAATGGACCAGAATTCTCTCTATATATTGACAGGAAGGGGGGGAAAAATCTCAAGGTGAAAAAAAAGTAAAGTGCAGAACAATGTAAATAATAAGGTTGTTTTATAATATAAAGGGGGGAAGAACTATTTTATTATAGTTTTTTTAAAAGATCACAGAGTGAAAGAGAAAAACAACTATTAAAATTATTTTAACTCTATGAGGTGAAAGAAGGTGAGACAAATCACCTTAATGTTTACTTCGTTTTTATATTGAGCCAAGTGAATATTCATTTTTCAGGGGGGAAGAAGCCAGAATGAAAGTTAAAATACAAAAGCCTAGGACCAGGAAAAATTAATTCTTCAAGTCAAAGAGCACCATATGAAAATTCTTCTAGGATGTCTGTTGATAATTTAATAAGCTGGGCGTTTACCTCAGAAAGGCAGGTAGCTTACTGTCACCACTTGTTTGCCCTACAGGAAGCTAAAGGAGTGGTTTTCAAACAGCACATGCCACTCGAATGAGCAAGAAACACCAAACGCCTACTATCTGCTCATATTCTGTACCCCAAGCCATCTGTACAAACTGCAGGCTACGCCTGACAAAGTCAAACTATGAATAACAACAGTGGCACGGGACTTCTGGACTTCGCCTCTGCAGTAGAAAGAAGGAAACTGAGTCTGCCCAACAAGCCTTTAAAGTTTGCAGAGTGCTTTCATAACACTTCAGCTCATTAACTATCTCTTTGATAAAGATACTGTAACAAGAGAAAAACAGTGAAGCTCAGGGCAGCGCCATGCTGTACCAAGTCACATGCCTAGTCCACAACAGACAGGGGCCAAACCCCAGTTCTCTCAGTACCCAGTCTCTGCACTTTCCACTGAGCCTCTGTGACCTCATTCCTGGCCACTCCCCATTCTAGACCCCACGCCTGGATCTGTACATGGATAACTTAGCTCAGTGTAGGAGAGGGTAAGAATACTTCCCATTCCTTCATGAATGGGAAGCTTAGTGCAGGCTTCTGCTTTCCTACAATTCTCAAAAGGAAGGTGAATATTCTAACAATCCATGAAGGAATGTAATATTAAAAAAAAGCCAGGAATCTGAAGTAAAGGTAAAAACAGTAGCTACCCACCTGACGGAGTATTCAGATCAGGGATCCACCAGAAGCAGAGAATATTTAGTAAGACATGGAGGTGAGGAAGGCTCCAGCTGTCTCCTTACCTGGAATCAAAGAAGGTGCCATCCAGAAGTGTGCCATTGTAATGGTACCTCAGGAAATCCCCACTCTGACTTCTCCGCTCACAGTCTGCAGGCACCACCTTATTCTCAATGGAAATGCCATCCTTGGGGTTATGGAGGTCCAATAATGCAACATCAAAGACCAGAGATGCCTGCCCAGGAATGTCTTTCCCTAGGATGGAATGGAGGAAGATGATGAAGTCAGGACACAAGACCTAGGAACTGCTTGAACAAGTCAACTTTCTCTGTGTCGGTGCTACTCATTCCTTGAAATATCTGAGGGAAGGAAATAAATGTTCCTCCAAATCTTGGGTAGCCCCACATGGTCTCTAAATATTCTACTGAGCCACAGCATCCATGCTGCCAAGAGCCTGACTTCCTCAGGAAAAGAGAAAACAGGCATAAAGAATACAAGAGATCCTCTATTTTGATCTTCATGCTGCCTTCATTGGAGTGGAATAGCCCACATAGAAACCCAAATACACGAAACTGAGGGTTTCTGTGTATGTTCAAATGCAAATTACAGACATTTGAAGCCACAAATTCTAAATCTCTGAGTTGGTTCTGGAGAAGATTACAACAATGTGTTCTTCAGAAGCTCTAGCCAATTTTTCTAAGAGGTAAAAGGTAGATTTAATCATTTCAGTGCTTGCAAAGCAAGACATAAATAAAAGTCAAATTAAACTGAGCTAAGGGGAAATGATACCCACAATCCAAAATATATATATAATCTTCAGGTATTTTCTGCCTCATGTCTGGAAGGTTCTCTTTCTCTCAGGATCTCCCAACAGTGAAGATTTACTATCTGCAAAATGAATTCACCACAGAACTAACTCACTGTGCATTAGTCCTCCTTGCAAAGATTAATAGTAATCAATAAATAACTTTACGTTCAGCAATCTGTTGACAAATAAGTGGAAAAGTGCTACCTCCTGCTGACTTTTCATTTTTTTATAGTGTGCACAGGTCTGGACCTGGAGAAGGAATTAGACACACACCAAGCTTGTGCTCCATCCACTGGCCTGTTAGACGGAGCCCAGGCCCTGCATCTCCTTCCCTACAGGGGAATGATGAAATCTGTTGAAAGTACGCACCAAGTCTGCCTCTGGAATGAGGCCTGTCCCTGAAGTGCGAGTGGAGTGTTTGTGTGCATGTGCCTCTGTGTGATGAAATATTAAAACTTTGTGTGTGTCCATATATTTTAAATTGAGAGCAAAAAAGAACAATAATATTTCAAGTTTATCCTCTTCAGATTGTGAATTTCTGGTTGTATTTGGTAGTCTCTTTATACGTTGGACTAGCCTTTCTATGCTTGATCCCAGTTTGTTGCTTATGAATGCTACGGTTTTGGGCTTTACTCCCAGGTCTCTAATCCACCTTGAGTTAATTTTTGTTTATAGTGTGAAATGTGGATCCTGTTTCAGCTTTCTGTGGGTGGAAGTCCAGTTTTGTTAGCAAGATTTGTTGAAGAGATTATATTATTTCCCCATTTGATAGCTTTGATTTCCTTGTCAAGTATTAGTTGCCCATAGATAGCTGGGTCTATTTCTGGGTTTTCAAGTCTGTCCCATTGGTCTATGTGCCTGTCATTGTACAGTACCATGCTGTTTTGGTTACCGCTGCTGTGTAGTAGGTTTTGAGGTCAGGGAGTGCTATACCTCCAACCTCATTTTTGTTTCTTAGAAGTGTTTTATTTATTTGGGGTCACTTGTCTGTCCAAATAAATTTGATAATTTCCCTTTCAATCTCTTTGAAAATGAATTTGGTATCTGGATTGGGATTGCTCTGAACATGTAGATTGCTTTTGGTAGGATTGTCATTTTTACAATATTGAGTCTTCCTATCCATGAACAGGGCACACGCACACCAATGTTCATAGCAGCATTATACACCATCGCAAGAATATGGAAACAGCCTAAATGTCCAACCACAAATGAATATATTGCGAAATCATGGTACATTCACACAATGGAATACTATGCAGCATGCAGGAGCAATGATTTTGTAAATTATTACCTAACTTGGGAGGGACTGGAGAGCATTATGCTGAGTGAACTAACTCAGTCCCACAAGGATAAATTGTATAAAATTGTATAAATTGTATAAAACCATTATTGTAGAATGGATATCAGAATCCAAGAGGGGTGGGAGAGGGTGGAAGCACAGGGATGAGGATGTACAGTGGGAGAGGGGGATTAATCATGGGGTTGTACAATTTGATGGGGGGGTGAGGGAAATTGAAAGAATCTGTTCTCTAAAACAACGTAGTCAAATTTTGTAAATAACTAGTGTAAAATTTTTAAAAGTAATTTTTCAATGAAAAATTCGTGATACATAACATATCATGGATGAGTGCAGGGGACATTATTCTGACTAAAATAAGTCAGTCTCAAAAGGGACAAACACTGCAAAAGATCATTGTTATAAAAAGCTGGAGAAAGATTTACATACCAAGAGAATCATTCTAGTACGTATAAAAGGGGAAAAGAGGAGGAGAATGTGGAAACAAATAGATAACACACACTGATTAAGATGGATCAAGAGAAATACAATACAGAATGAATAGGTGATCAGACATGGTGTGGACGGTAACTGATGTTTATGGAACAAAATGTGCATTAAGAATTGACAGAAAGGTATAATATGCTCTGTAAACTTTCACTCAAATCACATTTTTAAAAGCAATAAACAGAAGTAAGTTTTCTAGTATTATAGGTGCTAACTGAATGTATTTTTAAAGTTAACAGCTAGTGTAATTCACATTTAATTCATCCATTTAGAGTGTATTCTTTGTTCTTAATTCCCTTAATGAAATTTTTCTTTAAACTTCATTTATTTTGTTGTTCTTTTAGATAATACACACAGCCAAACAGTAATTTCCATATGTACAACTGGGTTCCCTTGATGACATTCTTTGAATGGTACAATCATTCTTACCTTCATTTTCTGTATTAATCTTCCCTTAGTAACATAAACTCACTGTTGTAAATTTGATGCCATATAGACAGAACTTAAAAGGGTACAACGGTCAAGACAGACAATCTATACTATTTGTTATTTTGTTTTAGAAATTATTTAGACATTATTTAGTTTTAGAAAGAATCTAGGAGAAAAAAATGTTAAAAAAAAGACTTCTGGGGCTATCTTTAGTTTAAGGTTTGAAAGCTACCCTAGTGAGATAACTTTAGGGGTTGCAGATAGTCTACATTCAACAAGACAAAATTTTTTCCCTACATTTCTTCCCCCTTTTGACCATGATTTTTCTAAGGAATCATTGAGCACATTGTTCAGTAATGACAGTCTGGTACCATCTAGTTTTTTTAGTCACATGGCAAGAAGGTTCATCCAAGAATTCATCATACATTACATAGCTTCCTGATGTTCCTTTTTCCACCACTGTTCTACTGTCCTACCTTGATGACTGCAAACCAAAAGACTCTCTAGTCCAAATCTCTGCACAGGAGGGAAGATGCAGCCTACAGAGAGAGGTTGGTGTCAAGGACACAGTTCATGACATAGGGGCTGAGGGCTTACTTTGAATGCCAACTGAAGTTGCTGATGAATTATGGAATGTTTGACTTGTATTTGCCCCTTAAAGTCATGTAAACATGTCCTCACTTTGAAAGAAGTGAAACCACCTTACTCCTATTTACAGTAAGCTCTTCATCGCAGTCACCTTCACTGGCTGCCCATGTAGCTTTTAAATCACGGAAATGTCTGGGGTCTTTCCTACACTCAAGTAAAGTGGCTAAATATGAACAGTGTGTACTTGTTCAACTTACCTACAAATCTGACTTAAAGCCACACTTAGGACCAGAACGCCTCTCTAACATGGAGACCACCTGTAACCACTGCTAAGCTGATGTTTCTACAATTCAATCATCAGACAGTCGACCTTGACAGACTCATGTGACAGATCTGTCTGCAGTGATGGAACTGCTCTTTGGCAGGGCTGTCCTTACCCACACTCAGTGTCTAAAATGTGGCAACGTGACCAAGGAGCTGAATTTGACATTTAACTTCATTTAAATTCAAACAGCCACATGTAGCTAGCAGTTCTGGAAAGATCAAATCCTAGAGTCTAGCGGGTTTGATGCAGTAACAGTTGAATTAAACACTGCAATAGAAGTGAGGTCAGAGGAAGAGGCTCTGAGAGGGGAGGGCTTACCATCTCCATTTTCTCCATAGGCCAGAAAAGGAGGGATGGTTATGATGCGTTTCTCTCCCACGCACATGCCCAGAAGTCCTTTGTCCATCCCTGGAATCAACCAGCCAATGCCCACATATGTGTCATAAGTTTTCATGCGATTGTGACTGAAAAGGAATGAGAAAGGGTCCATTACAATGGCATTTCCCACTCATTCCTCTATAACTGTTGCTATCCAAATCTCAACTAAATGATGAGTCAGTATTTACATCCCTGGAGACAAACATGTGTAGCTGTTCCCAAAGCCAAGGCAGGCATCCTCCAATTAGGAAGACATGAAAAGCATGGAATTAAATCATAATCATTCACCAAAACCAGGGCTGCTATACCCCTGAATAAAAAACAGAAACGAGTCAGATGCTTGGAGCCCGACTGTTTCCCCCTCAGCGTCGCATTCCACTCCCAGGATTCTCCACAGTCTTAGATATATTTGGTTATTCCCTCGTCTTTCATGAAAAAACTATTTACAATGGACCAAAGCATGTCTGAACCTACTGACAGGTTCCTTGACTTAATGATGAAGTCCCCAAATATTGTTAATTTATCCTGACAATGTATAGTGGTTACTCTTGGGTATGTTAAAAATGTTAACTAAAATGAAGGCATTTGTGACTGACAAATGTTGGCAAGCGCTTCTTTTGGTTCCCTGTGGGCATAAAAAGCAGGTTAAGCAGAAAGAAGTAATGGGCACTTCCCTGAAACAACCATGAATGGCAGGACTGACCTGGAATCGAAAAGCGTCCCATCCAGGAACGTTCCATTGTAGTGGTACCGCACAAAATCAGATACCTGGGTGGTCCTCGGGCAACTGGGGGGCTTGAAGTAAGTGTGTATCTGAACCTGGTCTTCTGAATTCCAAATGTCCATCAAAAGTACATCAAAATGAAGCACTGAATCTGGGGGAATCACACCAGCTGGAAATGAAAGAGTTCACGTTGAGAAGCTGTTCCTGTCAGACCAGACATACAAAATGCCCAGACTGTTGCCAAGGAAACTGACCCCAGAAGGGTTCAGGTGGGTCACTGGTGTGGAATTCCAGAAGGCAGACCAGCTCCCTCATTATTTTATTCATATGGAACTGAAAGGGAAGTGAATACAAAATTTTCCCCTCAACAAGGGCAGCTTTCAATACACCTTCTTTCACATTCAGAAGAAATAAGCTTAAAATGGCAATGTTAGCTGTGAGTGTACTCACTGTTCTCCTTCCCCGAGTCCAAACCTTTCATGATTCTCCTGTCTGACTGAAGAGCTCGTAAATGCTCTGGTTGTTTCCACAGACATGTTAACAAACACAGAACGAAAACTTACAAACGCCATCACTTCCATAGGCGAGCGCTGGGGGGATCGTCACAAAACGCCTCTCATTTACACACATCCCAACCAGGGCCTGGTCCATGCCGGCAATCAGCTGTCCTTTTCCCACAAACACGTTGAAGGTGGAGTCTCGATCATAGCTAAAGACCAGAAGATACAGAGAAAGAAAAAAAGAAAAAGTGTAAGGAGTCTTTCCTTTGTTTAAGCAACCTGCTGCTGTCATACCATTACCAAGTCATGGCAACTCCCATGTCAGAGAACTGTGCCCCAAGTAAATTGCCAGGCCTTTCTTCCAAGGCACCTTTAGGTAGCCTTCCTTGGTAAATACTTAGAATGATGTACCTTTATAGGACAGACGGAGGTAACTGCATACTAAAAAGTGTGCCAATGAATTGGTATATATTTTGTTTGTATTTTCAACAATATCAACGAAAGAAATTCATTTATTTAAAAAATAATTTTCAAAAAGTCTGTCAAGGAGTTACTGATACTTCACTGAACACTGCTTTGGTATTGGAATTTTAAAAGTAATCTAAATATTACCAGAAATTCTAGTTAGTTAAGCATTGGCATAACTCACTCTAGGGGGAAAATATGTTCATTCTGCTTTACAAATAACTACTAATTCTTCAAGTTCATTTTATCCTATATTCTATGCTATTGGTACTTAAAAGCAACATTACAGGCACTTAAAGCCTAAGTTAATTTACATATTTAAAGTCATCCAGGTAAGTTAAACCAAGAGGCTGTGTGGTATTATCATTAGGTGTCATTGAGTCAAGTATGACTCTTAGTGACCCCTATAAACAATAGATATGAACTCTGTCCTATCCTGTGCCAACCCACAATCTCTGACACGCTGCTACATTCACTGTGTCAAGCCACCTGGTTGAGGGTCTTTCTCTCTCTCATCAACCCTCCACCTTTGCAAGCATGATGTCCCTCTCCAAGCAATACCTCTCCTAACAACATGCCCAAAGTATGTGAGATAAACTTCACCATTCTTGCTTCCAAGGAACAGTCTGGGTGCACTTTCGCCAACACATATTTGTTTGTTCTCTTGGCAGTCCATAAGATACTCAATACTCTCCCCCAACATCACAACTCAAAGGCATCAATTTTTCTTCTGTCCTCCTTATTTGTTGTCCAACTCTGAGATGCATACATAGTAGATGATTGAAAAGCCTGAAACAGGAGAATCTTGGTCCTCAAACTAACATTGCTGCTGGTCAGTAATTTGGATAGGTCCTTGACTACAGACTTTCCCAATGCAAGACATTTCTGGATCTCCTGACTGCTGTTGCCAAATGTATTTATTGTGGATCCAAGAAAGATGAAGTCCCTGACAGTCTCAATCTTTTCTCCATCTATTATGATGTCACCTATTAGTCCAGTGGTGAGAATTTTCATTTTCTTGATGTTGAGATGCAACAGAACGAGGCAAAATTACATTCATTCGACCTCCAAAGTAGAAGTAGAATAAACAAGTCTGCCCTGGAGAGAGTAAAACCAAGTTTCTCCTTGGAGGCTACAATTTTGAAGCTCCATCTCACATACTTTGGGCATGTGGCCAGGAGGTAGGTACAAGTCCTTGGAGAAGGATATCATACTCAGAAGGCTGGAGGGACAGCACAGGAGAGGAAGACCCCTGGATGAGATGGATTGATACAGTAACTGGGGCAATGGAGGTAGGTGTATCAGAGACAGTGAGACTGGCTCAGGATGGGGCAGAGTTCAGAACTGTTGTATATAGGGTCTCTATGAGTCACAGGTGACTCAACAGCACATAACAACAACATGACATTATAGGTGAAAACTGGTGTAAAAATTTGTGTAATACCAATACAACTATAACTGCTACATATAACAGTTTGGTAATAATCTTTAAATTACAAACATATGTATATGTATATGTGTGTGTCCAAATGATGATGGCCTTGGGTCAGAAGAGAAGGGACATTATCATGACTATGGCATCATTCTCTCATCCTCTACACTGTCAAATTCAGCAACCAAGCGTTTGTCTCTTAGGAGGCTGTACAAAGGTGCTCAGGTGGCGCAACAGTGCAAGGCATGCTTTCTGTCTACAAACTACCTACCCACCATGTACCCAACTATCGTGTAACCCCATTACCATATGTTGTTGTTATGTGCAGTCGAGTCACATGCTACTTGTAGCGACCCTATGTACAACAGCCCTAAACTCTGCTCTATCCTGTGCCAATCTCACTGTCTCCGACACACTCACCCTGACTACCCCAGTCACTAAATCAATCCACCTCAGAGAGTATCTTCCTCGCCTGTGCTGTCCCTCCACCCTCCCAAGCGTGATGTCCTTCTCTAAGGACTGGCCCCTCCTTACAACATGTCCAAAGTATGTCATACAGAGCTTCAGAATCCTTGCCTCCAAGAAGCAGCCTGGTTTAACCCTCTCCAGCACAAACCTGTTCGTTCTCTTAGCAGTCAATGGTATATTCAATACTCTTCTCCAACAGCACAGCTCAAAGGTATCAATTTTCCTTCTATCCTCCCTAGACATTGTCCAACTCTCTGATGCATAACAAGTGATAGCAAAAACCATGGCCTGTATCAGGCACACCTTAATCTCCAGAGTGACACCATTGCTCTTCAGTATTTTGGAGAAGACTCTAACAGCAGACTTTCCCATCGCAACACATCTTTTAATTTCCTGGCTGCTGGTGCCAAGAGTGTTGATTGTGTATCCAGCCAAGCAAACTAAAGCTGTTAACAATCTCAATCTCTTCACCATCCATCCTGATGCTGCCAATCAGCCCAGTGGTGTAAATCTTTGTTTTCTTGATATTGAGCTTCAATCCATAGTGAAGGCTGCAGACCTTGATCTTCTGCAGCAGCCAACAGGGTTGTGTCATCTGCATAACACAGACTGTTGATGAATCTTCCTCTAATCCTGATGCCATATTTCTCCTCATAGAGCCCAGCCTCCTGGATGATCTGTTCTGCACACAGATTGAAATGTGCAGAAATAGAACACATTGCTGGCTATATGCACCAACAACCAGAGCCAAAGAAGAGGAAATAGAAGATTTCTACCAACTTTTGTAGTCAGAGATCGATCAAACATGCAATCAAGATGCATAAATAATAATGGGTGACTGGAATGCAAACGTTGGGAACAGAGGCGAAGGATCAGTAGTTGGAAAACATGGTCTTAGTGACAGAAATGAGGCTGGAGATAGAATGATTGAATTTTGCACAATCAACAATTTATTAATTTCAAATACATTTTATAAGAAACATAAACGTAGGTTCTACACATGGATTTCACCTGATGGTATTCATAGGAATGAGATTGATTACATCTGTGGAAAGAACCACTGGAGAAGCTCAATATCAGCGGGGAAAACTAGGCCAGGTGTTGATTGTGGAACAGACCACCAACTACTCTTATACCAAGTTCAAGCTGAAGCTAAGGAAAATTAAATCCACGGGAACCAAAATATGACCTTGAGTTTATCCCACTCAAACTTCAAAACTATCTAAGAAACAGGTTTGAGGCCTTTGAACACTAATGAGAGAAGATCAGATGAGTTATGGGAGGCTATCAAGAATATCATCCAGGAGGACTGCAAAAGGTCATTACAAAGACAGAGGAGAAAGAAAAGACCAAAATGGATGTCAGAAGAAACTCTGAATATTGCACTGAAGTGCTGAGAAGCCAAAGCAGAGAGAAGAAATCAAGATATTAAGGAGCTGAACAGAAGATTTCAAAAGGCAGTGCGGGAAGACAAAGTCGTACAACGAAATATGCAAGTAACTGGAGTACAAAATCAAAAGGGCCAAACTTGCTCAGCATTTCTTAAGCTGAAGGAACTGAAGAACAAATTAAAAACTCAAGTTGCAATACTTAAGGATGCTTTGGGCAGAATATCAAATGATCCAGAAGTATTAAAGGTAGATGGAAAGAGTATACAGAGTCATTGTACCAAAAGGAACTGGCAAACAGAGAAGAATTTCAACATATGGGCAAGAGCCTATGGTGGTGAAGGCAGAAGTTCAAGCTGCTTTGAATGAATTGGCAAAAAATAAGGCCCCAGGAATTGATGGTATACCAATTGACATATTTTAACAAACACTGTCCCGAATGAGCTCATTAAGTTGTACCAAGAAATCTGGAGGACAACCACCTGGCCAACTTACTGGAAGAGATCTATATTTGTTCCCATTCCAAAGAAAGGAGATCTGTTTGAGTGTGGAAATTATCGAACAGTATCATTGATAATCACATGCAAGCAAGATTCTGTTGAAGAATATCCAAATACAACTAGACTAGCACACCAACAGAGAACTGCCAGAAGTGCAGGCTGGGTTTAGAAGGAGTCCTGGTATTAGAGATATTGTAGCTAATATTAGATGGATCTTGGCTGAAAGCAGAGAGTTCTAGAGGAATGTCTGTGTTTCATTGATTATGCAAAGGAGTTTGACTGTGTGGATCACATCAAACTGTGGCTAACTCTGAGAAGAATGGGAATCCCAGAACACACTGCATGGTTCACTATCATGTATGAACTATAAACTACTATGACACTTTTGTCTACTTTAAAAACTGGCAAAGAGGCCCACAGAGTTTCAGATCCCTTGTATTAAGAGATCAAGTGCAATATGAAAAATCAATTATGATCTACAAACTTTCACTCACATTTTTAAAATAAAATGACATTTTAAACACACAGAATTGCAAAGCTTGGCTTGGAAGGTTGAAAACCAGGAAAGAAAAAGTTTAAGGGTGTAACAATAGTAAGGCAAGAACATATGAGAAACTTCCCTATCATCTGATCGACATAACACAAATTCCTAGGTGGCAGAGTAGTAAGACTGTACTGCAAACCCAAAGACACGCAGTTCAAATCCACCAGCTGATGGGCAATCTCCTTCCATGTGATTAAATTGCCTCTGAAAACCTGTTAGAGGGTCAGCTTGCAGGTCAGGTATCAGGTGGTTTCAACTCAATGGTACATAACAACAACAACGAAGAAAACCACACATATCGTGAGGAAAAGATAGTTACTGAGCCACAGGTTAGGAAATCATCTATTTTAAAACTACATATATTATATGAATTATAATTTAAATGACAGGCAGAGATATGCTTCTTTTTAAA